AAAAAAAAAAAAAAAAAAAGAGAAAGAAAGATTGTTAACTACTCATTTCTGCTTTTTAGCCTCAAGGTTAATGTTAGATTTATATTTCTGTCTCAAAAAAATGAGAATACATTATATGTGATAGATCTTTAAGGTGAAGTTTCAGTGATTAAAATCACACAATGATAATGTTATTAGGTTATTAAATATGAAATATCCAGTTGCCTTAAGTACTAAGTTTCATAGTTGATATTGATAAGGTATTTGACACTTATTTTTATTGTGAAGGTACATCCTCCTTTTATACACACACTTTGGCTTATGATTAGCCTTCAAATTTTTTTTACGGCTTCAAATTTTTACGAAACCATGGATAAGTAAAAAAATCATGTTACTTTCAAATATGAGTCCTGTCATGGAGTGTAGATAGCTCAGAATATCAACAAAATATTTGGGAAGGATGTAGCTAATGAATGCACAGTATGGATAGTTTGAGAAGTTCTGTTCTGGTGATATTAATCTTGAAAATGAGCCATGCGGGCAGCGTAAGACCAAGGTGGATAATGATAAGCTGAAAGCTGTAGTGGAAAAATTCATCTGGACTACATGTAAATTAGCAGCAAGATTTGCCATTACTATTGCAACAATATCGGACTATTTGAAACAAATTGGCAAGGTGCAGAGAAGCTGGATAGATGGGTTCTGCATGAATTAAGCCCATGTCAGAGAGAAATTCTCTTGAAGCTTGACTTTCTTTGCTGTCATGGCATAAAGGCAAACAATTTCTACTGTATTATGTGTGATGAAAAATGAATTCCTTTTGACAATAGCAAGTGTTGGGCACAGTTGGATAAGTGTGAAATGCTGAAACATAGCCTCCAACCAAATATTTCTCAAAAAAAGCTAATGGTGTCTGTTTGGTGGTCTAGCACTGGTATTATCCACTATAGCTTTATTTTTTTATTTTTTTTATTTTTTTGAGACAGAGCCTCAAGCTGTCCCCCTGGGCAGAGTGCCGTGGCATTACAGCTCACAGCAACCTCCAACTCCTGGGCTCAAGCGAGTCTCCTGCCTCCGCCTCCCAAGTAGCTGGGACCACAGGCGCCTGCCACAACGCTCGGCTATTTTTTGGTTGCAGCCATCATTGTTGTTTGGCGGGTCCGGGCCGGGGATTCGAACCCGCCACCTTAGGTGTACGTGGCTGGCGCCTTAGCCGGTTGAGCTATAGGCGCCGAGCCATATCCACTATAGCTTAATGAAACCTGGTCAGTCAATTATAGCAGATGTCTGCTGCAACCAGTTGGACAAAATGATGAGGATGCTTACAATTAAGCAGCAAAGATTGGTCAGTAGGGTTTGGTTGGTAGGGACAGGTAAATTCTCTTGCAAGACAGTGCTTGACCACATGTCACACAAGCATCACTGCTCAAGCTACACAGGCTGGACTTGGAAACTGTGTTATCCACTGCATCCCCCAGACTTTTCACCAACTGACTACCACTTCTTCCAGGCTTTGGAACACTTTTTCCAGAAAAAAAATTCAATTCTCAGCAAGCTGTGGAAAACACCTTTCTTGATTTCATTCCTGCTCACTCTCTAGGCTTCTTCGTGGCTGGCATAAACAAGCTACTTTTAAAATGGCAGAACTGTTGATAGGCACATACTTTGATTAATTGTATTGCTTCTTGTCTGAGGTATAACAAACTAAACTTTTGGTTGGAAATTGTATATTTCATGATTAATGACCTAAAATATTTGACTATTATTTTTCTAGGCATCCTGAGCCTTAGGCTCTGTAGAAAACCTAGAAAAATTTGTCTCTGCACTCTTGAACTTGTATGCTTAAGAAAGTAAATGAGAGAAATTTACAGTTTAAAAACAAGGGTTTAAATATATAAACCTAAGTCATAAAACTTGTGATTTTATTTATTTTACTTTTACACACACAAATTTTTAGCAGAATTTATTTTTTAGAGCAGTTTTGGGTTTATAGCAAAATTGAGCAGAAAATACAGAGCATCTCCATATACGTTCTATGCATGCACAGCTAGTTCACTATCAACATCTTGCACCAGAGTGGCACATTTGTTTGAAATGTTGAATCTACTTTGACTTGCTACCATTAGCCCTGTAATTTATATTAGGGCTCACTCTTGGTGTTGTATATTCTGTGGGTTTTGACAAAGTATACTGATATGTATCTACCATTACAGTATTGTACGGAATAGTATCACTGTCTTAAAAATCCTCTGTGCTCTGCTTATTCACCCTAGCCTCCCCCCACCCTGATCTTTTTACTATCTCCTTAGTTTTGCCTTTTCCAAACTTACATATAGTTGAAATCATACAGGATGTAGCCTTTTCAGATGGCTGCCTTTCACTTAGTAATAATGCATTTAAAATTCTTCCATGTCTTTTCATGGCTTTTTTTTTTTTTAATTGAGACAGGGTCTTACTCTGTTACCTAAGCTAGAGTGCTGCAGTGTCATAGCTTTTGTCTGCTCCTGTAAGTTTCCTGCAGGCGAGCCGTGAACTGAGGACCTATTATCTCACCCCACATGTGAGAGCTATAGGAAGGGGGGTCTGTTCCCCTAGAGGGACCCTGCTGAGACTCTGAACACCCTCTCACCAGGCAGAAAAATTGACCTATTGTTTTCACTGCCTTTTTGAATTTCCAGTCCACCCTTCCCCTCCTTGTCTGCAGAGACAGAGGAGGTCCAAGAGCAGCATCCCCCCACCCCTGTGGGACCACGTGCCCCGTCATGGCTCTGCAATCAGAGAACTGCTTGAGCCGTGCATGTCCTGCACTGCTGCTGGCGCCAGGCACCCTCGTGGGGTGCCCTGAGAACTGATCGAGCTGCGCGTTCCCCGCACCCCAGGCCTGGTGCCGGAGAACTGCGAGAGGACTGTCACTTGAGAGGGAACTACACTGGAGTGGCAGTACCCTGAGGTGAAGAGAAGCAGCCACAGCAGCATAGAACAATAAGGCTCACACCCCTGAGACTTTTCTGGACAGACATGCCCTATCTCTCTGGGCAACCACAGGAAGCTGGCATCTTCTCAGGTGGCAGCCACTGGCAGAACAGTTTTGGGACGGTCTTCAAACAGAGCAAATTCAGCATGGGGCGGAATCGGCAGAAAAACTCTAGTAACGTGAATAACCAAAGTAGATCAACTCCTCCAAGGAAGGATGGGGCAGAGGCAATTGAAGATCTCATCCATAAACAGATGGCTGAGATGTCAGAAATCGAGTTCAGAATCTGGATAGCAAATACGATTAACAGAATGGAGGAAAGGAGAGAATTATAATTTCAAATTATTCAAAAGCTATCTCAAGAATTCAATGATTTCAAAGATAAAATGACCAAAGATTTTGACATGCTGAGGTAAGAGGTTGCAGTCCTCAAAGATCTGAAAAATACAGTAGAATCCCTTGGTAACAGAATGGAGCAGGCAGAAGAAAGGTTCTCTGACATTGAAGACAAAGCTTTGAATGTACCCAAGGGCTCAAAGATGAAGAGAAATGGAGAACAAAAAGGGATCACTCTCTTAAAGAGCTCTGGTATAATTCGAAGGAAACTAATATTCGGCTTATGGGAATCCCTGAAGGTGACAAAGTTGCTTCACAAAGCACAGAGGTGGCTCTTAATGAAATTTTGAAAGAGAACTTTGCAGACATCCCAAGAGATTCTGAAATTCAGATAGCAGACAGTTTCAGAACCCCAGCATGACTCAGCCTGAACAAGACATCCCCCAGGCACATCATAATTAACTTCACCAAAATTAATATGAAAGAGAAAATTCTGAAAGCAGCTAGATATAAGAAAACCATAACCTTCAAGGGGAAGAATATTAGAATGACTACAGATCTCTCTGCTGAAACCCTTCAGGCTAGAAGAGGGTTCATTGACTTTTAATCTCCTGAAACAAAATAAATTTCAACCCAGGATCCTGTTTCCACCTAAACTGAGTTTCATTTATGATGGAGAAATTAAATACTTTAATGACATCACATGTTGAAGAAATTTGCCATAACTAAACCACC